AAGTGCCAAGGGAGGAATTGTGGTTTTGTATGAGGAAGTCAGGAGTGGCAGAGAAGTACGTTAGTTTGGTGCAGGCCATGTATGGGAATAGTACAACAGTAGTGAGGTTTTAGTTTGGAAGGACAGAAGACTTCAAGGTGGAGGTGGGACTACATCAAGGATCAGCCCTGAGCCCCTTCTTGTTTGCTTTGGTGATGGACAGATTGACAGATGAGGTCAGACAGGAGTCACCATGGACTATGTTGTTTGCAGATGACATTGTGATCTGTAGTGAGAGTAGGCAGCAGTTGGAAGAGAACCTAGAGAGGTGGAGGTTTGCACTAGAAAGAAGAGAGAAGGTCAGCAAGACAGAGTACATGTGTGTAAACGAAAGGCAGAACAGTGAAATAGTGAGGTTACAAGGAGCAGGAGTTTAGGTACTTAGGATCAACTGAGACAGTGATAATGTGACACTCAGAGCAGGGGAGACTGTGGAAGAGAGGTGAAGAATAGAGTACAGGCAGGATGGAACAGCTGGAGAAAAGTGTCAGGAGTGATCTGTGATAGAAGAGTGTCAGCTAAGGTGAAGGGAAAGGTTTACAGGACGGTGGTGAGACCAGCCATGATGTATGGTTTAGAGACAGTAGCAATAGGCAGAAGACAGGAGGCGGAGCTCGAGGTGACAGAGTTAAAGATTCTAAGATTCTCTTTAGGAGTGACAAGAATGGACAGGATCAGGAATGAGGTAATTAGAGGAACAACACAGACAGGAAGGTTAGCAGAAAAAGCTAGAGAAGCCAGATTGAGATGGTTTGGACATGTGCAGAGGAGGGACAGTGGATACATTGGTAGAAGAATGTTAGAGATGGAGCTACCAGGTAGGAGACAAAGAGGAAGACCAAAGAGGAGATATATGGATGCAATGAGGGAGGACATGCAGATAGTTGGAGTCAGAGTAGAAGATACAGAGAACAGGGAGAGATGGAAATCAATGATCTGCTGTGGCAACCCCTGAAAAAAAAGGGACAAAGCCGAAAGAAAAAGAAGATCATATCACAACAATATTAATATTCTGTTGACATGTTTATATTTCAGTTTATATCTTAATTGACCACTGAAGCTTATTAGTTATGAAAATAAAAGTCTTCACTATATGACAAAACCGGATGATTGTGATCTTTTATATTAAGTTACAATTATCAAATAACACAGTAAGAGGTAAGTGAAAATTTAGCTAGTAATTAGTTGCAAACATTCATATAACAAGTAAAATTCATAATTTTAGCATAAGTTGAAAATGTATAATGTAAAGATATAAATATTTTTGTACAACTATTGTTTGGATTTTTTTCACACTAATTGTAAACTGGGCTATCATCGAATGACTTGTTTATTTACAAGAATAAGGTCTAATAATCTAGATGATATACATACCATAGTAAAAAAAAGTTTTATAATTAATATGGGCAGATAAAAAATTGTATTTAAAATTCTGTGTTCATTTAAAGCATTAGAATGGACCCGCACAATTATAGTTAATTTATTTGATTGATTTATTAGGCTTTTGGCATAAGCAGAAACTGCAAAAATTAGATCTTGACATTGATATTTTGAAGCATTTAAAAACCTCCCAGCTTTGTTCTAAAATGAAAAGCTGAAGCCTCTGTGGATTGTGAGTAAAAAAGATATAAGAGCCTACAGACAGAAGTTGAAATTACACAAAGTGACAAAGACAAAACTTTCTCAAGGTCTTTAAACAACTGTAAGGCCATGCAAGAAAAGAGAAAGAGAGTGAGACAGAGAGAGAGAGAGAGAGAGAGAGAGAGAGAGAGAGAGAGAGAGAGAGAGACATACTCAGCTAGCTGGAAGCATTGGAGGAGACAGAGGCACATTTTTAAACTCTACATGCTTAAAGACTTGACTTTAGGCTCATTAATCACTTCGTCAGTGATGTTATTGCTGGCTTTTAGGTTACCTGGCAGAGTACAATCATTAGACCAGTAACTGTTTGATTACTGTTGTGATTAAATCAACTGCATCAAGCAAAGCTTTTTTGCACACTGTCACGTTGTTTGTCAGTGTTTACTATATAATACATTTATTATATAATAAACAACATAAAAATTAACACTGGCTGTTTTTTTAATGTGCTAGAGACTTGACTGTGCTTCATGTCTACTATGATAAAAACAAACCTGACTTTGCTGTAATCTCTAGCTTTACTCTTACCTCGCTTCACTTATGGCTGAATACTTAGGCGGTCAAATGATGTTGTGCAAGTAATGACCTGCTTCTATTGTACGTTGGCCACAGTAAAGTGTACAGATAAAGGGTACAGATAGTCTCAGTGTCTGCCTTGTAGTGCTATATATTTCTATTTACTATATGAAGAATGCTACTGACATTTTTTGTTAACATGTTAGTCCAAATAGCTCAACTACAGTTCACAGTAAAGCATTGACTAAATCAACTGCTTTAGCTACTTTTCTCCTTTTGGCTTTAGTTCAAGAGTATTAAATTACTCTGAAGAGTTACTGTAATTTCCTTTCCCTCAAGATTGATACATGTAGTTATGCTATTAAGTGGGCATTCAATGCAAATCAATCCCATTGTTTGTGAACAATTTCTAATTATATATTTTACCTGATTTAATTACCATAAGGCCAAGAGGAGTCAAAAGGTACATTGTCCCAGCAGCTGTTTATAATTACGGTTTGTGTGTAGAAGAGAGATGATTGAATTTACCTCTCTGGAGCCAGAATGAAGTGACAAAAACTATACAGACATAATACATTAAGAGCATGTCACGAATTACTCTTGTATGAAGAATTTAACTAAGAAACCTTTTTTTACAGAATGCTATTAGAGTGTCAAGAAAAATCGTAAATTATTACAAAAATGCATTTAAATTGGCCAAAAGTACACAATAAAACAGTGCTTTAGCATTGATCTAAGAAAACAATTATATATTATATTAGACTCAAGGAGATCAGGACAACAGTCTCAAGAAAGACACAAGTAGTTAAATAAGATAATACATTAAATACAACCTCCGTGGTTTGAAACATAATTAGCATAATTAGCTGATTGTTATTCAGTGATCACATTCAGAGAAACTTGAAGAAAGCATTTTTGTGTCACTCGTGATTATTTGGTGAAGATTACCTTTGGAAGACAGCCTGACATTTTGGGAAAAAATATCTTGTGCAAGTTAAAAAAGAAAAACAAAAGACAACAAAAACAAACTAAACGTTGGAAAATAGTCACTTTCTGTTTAGATACTGTTTTCATTAGTCTAGATATGTGTTGACAACAGGATGTCTGCTCCCTGTTAAAATTCATATTTGACCCACAGAAATGTCAAATCTGATAGTCCAAAGCAACATTTTTATTTTTTTATAATGCTTTCTATTTTGTAATCTGTAAGCAGATCTGGAGTCTGTCGATCCGGTTGTAGCAGAAAAACAACAGCTAGTCAGACATGTCTAATGATTTAAGCATCATATGCAGCCATTTTACATCCTTTATATGAAGCACACTGTATTTGGATGCTTTGCTGTGTTAGTGCAGAAACTCAAATCAAGCATCAAGTCTTGGGTGTGTGTGATGGTGAAGTCCTGAACTCTGGAAGCCTGGGCACCTTTCGGTTAGCGTTTGGCTGCT